AGAAACCAGACAGATGGTTAGCTGCTGGTGATGCAGTGCTGGTGTCCACGCCCTGGGTGCACAGACAGGCCTGACGTGGTGTTCAGTTTATGGGATTGAAGGGAGAGGCTGCCCTTTTAACACTTTTTTTTTAATTGATGGACTTACTGGTGCTGAGGTAGAGACAGATACTAGCCCTGAGTCTTAATCTTTAAAAGACTGGCTTTCCGCCCTAGCTGGTTTGGCTCAGTGGCTAGAGCGTTGGCCTGTGGACTGAAGGTTCCCAGGTTCAATTCCGGCCAAGGGCACATGCCTGGGTTGCGGGCTCGATCCCCAGTAGAGGACCTGCTGGAGGCAGCCGATCAATGATCCTCATCATTGATGTTTCTCTTTCTCTCTCCCCCTCTTCCTTTCTCTCTGAAATCAATAAAGAAATATTTTTTTTTTTTAAACTGGCTTTCCTTTGCTGGCCCCAATACTCAAATTGTATTGTTTGCCCTGGTACTATGGTCTAAAAGATTAGAAAAGGAGTCCTAAATTAAAGCTTTAGGAATCAACTTGTACTAGTACCTAAAAGAATAAAGTCAGAGAACAGGCACCTTCTCCCCTGATTTCTGTGTGTGTTTTCTACCTCCTTTGTAACTTTTCCACTTAGAAATAGCATTGTTCTCTTTTCTTCATTCCTTGCAGACTCGCTCTTTACTGAGTGTATTTGAAGAAGATGCTGGCACCCTCACGGATTATACCAACCAGCTGCTCCAGGCCATGCAGCGCGTCTACGGAGCCCAGGTATCCTGCTGCCCCTCACCCGAGAGGCAGAGTGGGGGCCCTCTGCCCTCATCTGGAACTTCTCTCAGGAGGTTGAGAAATTTGAAGTAAAACACCATTTAAATTTTTGAAATAAAATCAGATTTGTTTTTCTCACTTCTGTCCACCTTCAAAAACTGAGGACAATCTGTTTTCATTGCTGAACAAAAGAGGGTGATTTCTCTGTAACTAGTAGAAAGGGACCACATCACTCTTTCAATTTTTAAAAAAAATTCAACCCCAAAGGGAAACATCTGAGTCTCCTCTTCCTACTTGTGAATGAGTGGGTTCAGTATTATGAAACATGCCCTTTGTCTGTCTCATAAGTAGGCAGTCTTAGATGTCAGTGCGGGTGGGTAAAGATGTTTTTTCAAGCGCTCCTCCGAAAAGACTTGAGTCACAGTTCTGAAACTATTGGTGGCTTCTTTGTTTTGAGGAACAACTATCTCTGGCTTGCAAAACCATGGAAAATAAATTGCTGAGTAGCAAAAGTGAATCTTTTTAAGATCAAGAAGTGCCCATGTATGTTACTTTTCAAGAGAAGACTTGAGAGCTACTTAAAAATAAAATTCATTATGTTACACATCAAAATGTTATGGCAACTGATGCTTTTGATTATTGATTTTTTTTGCTGATTTAACGCTGTACATGTTAATGTTTCTTTTCCTCATTGATGAGCTCTAAAGAAATACCACATTCAGTACATGATAACAATATATATTAATATTCATGTATAGTCATTATTATACTAGAGGCCCGATGCACGAATTTGTGCACCGGTGGGGTCCAGGCAGCCCACCTCGATGGGGGCTGATCAGGGCAGGCTGGTCAGGGGGTCGGGGGAGGGAGCCTCAGGCAGTTGGCTGGCTGGCCCCACCCCCAATGGGGGTTGGAAGGGCCAACTGGGGGCAGGGATGGCTGGGGGGAGGGGCCTATCGGGGTACCTATTGGGCCGATTGGCCATTGCTGTGCACGTCATAGTGATTGGTCATTCCAGTCATTCTGGTTGCTTGGCTTTAATATATATACTAGGGGCCCGGTGCACGAAATATTGTGCACTGGGGGGGGGCGGTGTCCCTCAGCCCGGCCTGTGCCCTTTCGCAGTCTGGGACCCCC